CAACCACGAGACCCAGCTATAATAATACATTTTTGCAACTGGTTTATCCAGACAATGAATGAAGATTCACTGACCCACAAGTATTGTTTTTTACTGACAAAGCCTGGTTTTACTTAATTGGACATATGAACACAAAATAAATAATTCTGGTGCTCAAAATACCGTGGAGTATACAGAGTAGTAAAAAGGTAATGGAAATACTGTACTATTATGCAAAAAGGGATCAAATAGGTAACAGTGCCGCATATCAGTAAAATAAATTGCAATCTGATGTGTCTATAGCGCATTATCGATCCCATATTAGATTCAATATTTTAACTGGTTTCATAATACGTCTTACAGGACTATAATTTAAAACTCTTAACTGCACATTTTTGTGATCTAAGGTTTATGAAGACTGTTGCAAACTGAAATGATAAGTATTAATTTGAGTCTATTAGTGAGTTTAGCGGCCACATATATAATTATTTTTTTGTCATTTGCATAAAAACATTTATTTATGCAGATGACCAAGTACTTATCTCATACAATACATGAATTCAAAGAAAATATTCAGCAAGCAATATTCAAGATTTTCCCAGCAAGCAGCAGTGTGTGAACTGGAGTGTGCTTTGCTGTGCATTTTTATTAAAATAAAAGTCAATGTTGTTCTTTCATATTTATCTTGAGATCCAAATGTAAAGCAGAGAAAAACAGCCATGATCATCTTTGATTTCAAATCTTATGGGGATTTACCATTTTTTCTGGGTACTGACTTTCAACCTTAATTCCACCAGGAACTACATTAAGATGTGTCACAGACTTTTATTTATATATTATTTATTTATTTTACATTAGCTGTAATTTACTCTATAAACTTATAAATCATTATGCTTTCTTCTGCCTGACAGTCATATTGGTAATATTTATATTATGGTAAAAGTGAATAATCTATTTATTATCAATAATGACCTGCAATTATAGAATATCACTAGCAGAGAATTGTACATAATTGTCAGTTATTATTCATAAGTGATATTTAATCACTATTACTGCACATTTACATGACAAATGATCAAATTTAAATAATTTATTTACTGTTTCTTTGTCTTTTCCGGGTTTAGGAAGGCTCACGGTATAACGCAATGCATGTAGCAGCCAAGGCTTGTGACGCACAAATATGTGATCTAATTCTACAGACAGTGAGCAATGTTGCATTTATTCAGTTGCTGTATGGAGATGATGATGCTGCCAACTGTCAGGACCGAGCTCGTATCTTGTTGGATCTTTACCTGAATACTCCTGATAAGGCCCTCAATGAGACTCCAATACATTTTGCAGTTAAATTAGGAGCTGTTTCAGTTGTAGATGTATTGGTGTCTTATCCACAATGTGATAGACATGCGAGGAATAAATATGGACAAACACCAAGAGATGCAAGTAACATGTATTTTCATTATCATATATACATCACAGTATTCTTCAGGAGTGAGTACTTGGTATAAAATGTTTATGTTATTCTTTGTGCTTCAACTAAGAAGAATGTGATTGGTTGGGAATGTAGTATGATGGGAGAATCAAGAAATATGTACAAAGTTTTGTTTGGGAAACCGTAAGACAAGAGGTCAAGGCATAGTTGGAAGTTGGTCAAAAGTATTATTTGAAAAAGTGATGGCGCATCAAATTCCACGAAATGAGGGAATTTTTTTGACTATTTGAATGACAGAAATTTTTAAGGAAAATTCCTCTACCTTGGAGTTAGTTGGTCCAAAATATTTCTCA